CGAGTACTGGCGTTGTAGTCATGGCTTCTTTCAATTTTCCAAACGCCTCCTCGCTAACTTCGGTCCATGTGAACCCGCCTTTCTTAGTCATTGCTGTCAGTGGCTTGGCGATGGTTCCATAATCCTTTACGAACTTTCGGTAGTAGCCCGTGAGCCCTAGAAATCCTCTCAATTGCGTGAGACTAGTTGGCTTAGGCCAATCGACCATAGCCTCAATCTTTCGTGGGTCGACCTTCACGCCCTCGTGTGATATGAAGTGCCCCAAATATTCAACCATCATCTGCCCAAAAGAACATTTGGACGGCTTTATGTGGAACGAGTTGGCCTCCAGAATTTCGAGCACTACTCTTAAATGCCTAAGATGTTCGCCCCATGATTTTGAATAGATCAGGATATCATCAAAGAATACCAGAACGAACTTACGCAGATACTCCTTGAAGATAGAATTCATGGCGAACTGGAAAGTGGATGGGGCATTGCATAATCCGAATGGCATGACAAGATACTCATAGTGCCCCTGGTGTGTACGAAAGGCCGTTTTGGGAATGTCGGCTTTGTGGAGTCGAATCTGATGGTAACCAATTCTTAGATCGAGTTTAGAGAAATATCGTGACCCGGCTAACTCATCAAGCATGTCATCAACACTTGGAATAGGAAATCGGTCCTTGATGGTTGCAGCGTTTAGAGCTCGGTAGTCAGTACAGAACCTCCACGTGCCGTCTTTCTTTTTGGCTAACAGGACTGGAGACGAAAACGGACTCTTGCTATGCTGGATTAGTCCTGATTCAAGCATCTCGGCCACTTGCCGTTCAATCTCGGTTTTCTGAAAGTGAGCGTACCTATAGGGATGAACGTGTATGGCATGTTGTTCGTTGACCAGAGGTATGCGATGATCGAATTCCCGGTGTGAAGGTAGTCCCTTAGGTTCGCCCAGTACTCCCTCAAATTCCTGGAGAAGCTCGTGCACATCTTCCTGCTGTTGCTCCTCTTGATCTCTGTGCGCCTCAGTCTTCTCCACAAGTACGGCAAATATTTGACCTCCTCCCCGCCATACCTTCTCAATGCTCTTAAGCCCTACTTCCTTGGCACCTTTTTCATTGCCCGCACTGAGTGTGACTTGCTGACCTCCAGAGTTGAACTCCATAATTCCTGTTCGATAATCAGTGGTCACCTTGCCTAACCCTTCGAGCCATTGTACTCCTAGGACGACATCCGGCCCAACCAGAGGTAAGGCATAGAGATCAGCCTTCACCGTAACTCCGCTGAACCTGATTGGCACTTTTCGGAAGGATTTAGTGCATTGCAGCCTCTCACCATTGGCTACCCGCACCTCAAAAGGTTCAATATTCGTGGTCGGTAAGTTCAGCTTTTGAGACAACTCGGCATTGATGAAGTTGTGTGATGACCCGTTGTCTACTAGCACCACCACCTTTCGATCCTTGACCCAAGCTGGCAAGCGCATCGTCCGAGGGCCTCGTATCCCGGCCATCGCGTGCATTGAGATTTCTGCTTCTTCGTCAGGCCCTTCAACTATGATATCCTGAGGTGGTTCCTCCTCGTTCTT